CGGCGGGTGGAAGAGAAAATAACAGAGCCAAGAAACTGTCCAGAAACTGAGACCCAACAAGGGAGGCCCGCTCCAACTATATCTGCATTTCCCAAAGGAAATAAAAGTGCTTGCAAAGCATTAAAAGATAGTGTTGAAGTTTTAAATAAGTCTTTGGGTTTTCTTGGTTAAATCAGCCACTTTAGTGATTGTTGTTTTCTGTCAGCTGCACTCAAAAATCAAGATACTTTTGTCAGTTCTGGAAAGCCTGGAAGTCGTACAGGTTTTACATGACGTTGAGCAAATACATTTGGGTGAACTGTTCCCTTAAAAAGCAACATTATGGAAATTTCTTCTGGTGGTTTGTCAGTCTACACTGAGAGAGAGAGAGATCAGTAAACCACATCAGCACCAGAAGGGACGTAACGCTGGAGGAAAATGTCAGATTTTAAAAAACTTAAAAACCATCCCTGAAGGTCAAACAGAGTACACCAGACGCATCCGAGAATACTGGAATTGACATTTTAAGAGAGGAAATTTTGTCCCCTGAAACTCAGAGCTTAGAGACTGTGATTGGATGAAGGAATTGAATGCGAGCAGTTGATGTAGAAGAGAAAAACACAATCTCACAGTCTGGACAAGAACCTAATGCCCATCTCACACCTGTATATATGAACGGAGGCTGCTGGGAAACAATCAACTACTCAAGACATCCAGAAATTTAAGATGCAAGCTTTTCTGTTACCATTATCCAATTATCAGCCATGCAATTGACTCACATTCATGAGTGGTGCTGGAAAACATTCTCAGACTTCTGCATCACCACTTATATTTTTGTAATGTTGGTGTCACAGTGAAACACTGACTGTGTGTTATCAGCTGAAGGTGCAGCCAGGCAGCTGTCGTTGATTTGGCAAGTAGATTCCTAGCAGAGAGTTCACAATGTTCCCTCTATCCGTCTCAGCAGGGTCATCTAATCCCGAACACTCGATACAGGCTACAAATGCAATCACACGCTGCTGAACACATAGAGTTTAAGGTATTAGAGATGCCAGGATCGTTTCAGGACAGAACGAAATACACAGCATTCAAAAGTCTATTCTCCTGCATCAAAACTTTATAGTCAGATATTGCTTTGTGAAGGACTGAAACCATTCGTTTTCGAGCGAGCAATTAAGAGATTGTATTTAACTGCCAAAGTCATGTGATTGAGGCTTCATTACATCACAGCTGTTTCGAAATTTCAATGGTTTGCCGCTATGTGGCGATCTATGTGAACCCATGAACCATATAGTTTTTACCTAATCTCGGATCTTGGACATTGGCTTTCAGATTATGTTTAAATCTCAATTTCCAAAAATTGACCGATATGACTGGTTTTGTGGTCCAGGGTCACATTTGTATATTATAAAGCAAGAGTTGTAGTTTTTTATTATTTTGTTGGCCTGATTAACAAAGTTCTCCATAAAACAACCAAAATAAGCACCGCAATTGAATAAAATAAATAACATATTATACGGACACTTCTTATTTAACAGTGTTAGATGGTTTGTTAATTGCATTTAACAGATTACACTTTCGCAGTTGGGTTTGTAAAAGACGTTTTTATGCATGTTTGAGCTGATTTTTTGTTGCATTTACATCGTTTTGAACAGCAGGTCACCAGTGTGTGGCATTTCAAGCGCTTCAAAAAAACATTGTGCAATGCAACTGGTTCAATTGATTCAAAGTTTCCAAAAGCTTTGTTTCTTCCATCACTACAAAGTCAACATGAAATGCCATTTGCAACCCATTGCATAATGCAACATATTTATGTGAAACAGCTCATGCATTTTATATGACTTATGACCACTGATGTTGGTTAGAGCAATGTCTTTTTCAGGAAATCATACACATCATCCAAAGACACAAAATAAACACATGCTGGATTAAAGTTGAATGTGTTTTTGAGTCGCTGTGGATGTGGGTTGTGTTTTATATTCTAAGTGCGTGAAGGCAGCGGCGTGAACCTGCTGACTTTAAGATCAGATCAGCGCTCGACTTCATGTTCTCTACCTCTGATATGAAATCCCAGATCACATTTTCAGAGCGCGTCCATCCGTCACTCCAGAGATAAACCGTGCTCATTATTGCTTCTGTCCTCACTCCAGTCCAGCGTGAACAGGCCGGTATGTTTGAACAAGACAAAATAATAATCAGCTTGCACATATCATTCATTATGCAGATGCTTTTGTCTAAAATGACTTACAAAATCATAAACAAAACCATAAACAGCCCACAAGTAGTGCAGCAATACTACTCTATGTTTGAAGAGCAGGCAAGAATAAAACTAAATTTGAGTTTTTAATTAAATGCCAAATTAAATCATATCTTTGGATTTAAAATAGTCCCCATTGCTGTTTTCAGTTTTTATATGTCTGTCAGTTTGATTCTAATTAATGCATCTTGCAAGGTCTTTGTTAATTGTTATTCATTTCCTTGTTTGTTGATTTTGCATAATCATTCCCAATTAGTTATTTTCTGTCTATGGAATAACTTTAATAGAAAGATGCTCTCCACAGCCACACAGCAAAACGGCTCAATGGCATAATCTGCTGGCTACTCTAAACATTTACAACTCAAAAGTATTTGTTAGTGGTGTCTGCAAAGGAAAGCATGACTATTCATTATGCCTTAGGTTAATGATTTTAGCAAACCTCCAAATATGAGTACACCTCAGCATTAAAGTCACCCTGCACTAAATGTTTTACAGATATGCATAATTATTGATAGTACTTAAGATCATACTTTAAATGAACAGTTCATCCAAAAATGAAAATTTACTCACCTTCGGTCCATTCTACATGTAGATGAGTTTGTTTCTTCATTAGATATGTAGCATTGCATCACTTGCTCAGCAATGGATGCTCTGCAGTGAATGGGTGCCGTCAGAATGAGAGTCCAAACAGCTGATAAAAACATCACAATAATCCACAAGTAATCCACACCACTCCAGTCCATCAGTTAACGTCTTGTGAAGTGAAAAGCTTCAAATCTATCATTAAGACGTTTTTAACTTCAAACCGTTGTTTCTGGCTAAAATACTCAAGGCTAAAGTCCCCTCTTGCTTTTTCCAGTGAAAAAGTCATCTTGTCTGAATCAGGAGAGAAATCTGCACAGATCAAGCACCGTTTACAAGCCAAAACAGCTCTTATCAAATATGTGGTGGATTTTGATGTAAGAGGACAACAGAAGATGGACTTTTTCACTGGAGGAAGCGTAATTTTAGATTATGGACTCGTATTTTGGCCAGAAGCAATGGTTTGAAGTTAAAACATCATAATGACACATTTGTTTCTTACAAACACGCCACTTTTCACTTTACATTGTTTATTTTGGGGTGAACTATTCCTTTAAAATTTGCAGTGATTTGGTAAAAAACGCCCAGTACACCTTTAGAAAGTAGTAGTTGCATTTCAAGCCTAATCTAAAATCAGTTTTATGGTCTATTTAAAAATTGTATCAGGGGCCTAAAAGTCGTATTATGTCATTCTACACATGATGTCTTTCCAGCGGATGGGCTGCTCTCATTTGTCTATCACAGACCATTACACAGTTATTGGGATTGATCGTCAATGAGTTTTCCGTTATGACTCCTGATGCCTTTAAACTGACTTTAATGTCATTATTCGTTCGGCTTGAACAGCGTGGAGGAAAAGCAGCAACATCATTGATCAAGTTCATGAGCAGAACACTTAAGAAACTCAAACATGAGAGCCTATATTAGCCATTAGGCTTTGACAAGGTGGTTGTCTTTCTCTTACAGAAGATGACAGAATAGTGGATCTGATAGACCTACACGAGTATGTGTGTGTGCATAAAGAAATCAGAGGGAATAGACCTTTGTCAGGTTAGACGTCATATTATGGCAAGCTGTTAAAATACTACCAGCGTTAAGGCCAATTCACACCAAGAACGATAACTATAAAGATAACTATATTACTGTCCACACCAGTGGACGATATCGTCTCTGGGTGTCAATGTTTTGTTTTTTTATTCATCAGCTGGAAAAAAAATGTTCTGAAAGTGATTCTTTCACTTTCTGCCTTTATCGTTATAGCTGTGGTATGGACTCTGCTACTCTATAATACTGAGAATGATTTTTAAACAATATCTTTATTGTTATCTTTACAGTTATCGTCCTTGGTGTAAACTGGCCTTCGTCGTAATTACATTTTTTCTAGTAACAATTCAATTAGAGAGCGCTACAATTAAATTCTTACTAGTAACAATGCTAATTAAAGAGCTCTCTAGTTGGAACTGTTAGTAAGAATTTAATTAGAGAGCGCTCTAATTGTAAACTTTACTAGTAAGAACTGAATTGTAGAGCTCTGCAATTTAAGTCTTACTAGTTAAAATACAATTACGACGAGCAATGCTGGGAACATTTTAAGCTAAACCGGCTTGCCATACCATATTGAATCTAACATGAAAACGAGGACTGTGAGGGATATAGATTTAGTCTTTACAATGGCACGCACTGAATGTCCTACTTCACATAATTTTCACAACTTAGACATTTCGTCAGCTGAACAATCAGCCTTGTTTTTATTCCATTCAGAAATTAAATATATGGCTCTAACCTGAGGGGGGGAATGTAAATGGTAGGCAAAAGGGTCAAACTCCATACAATTTGTTTTATTAAAACTTTAAAAATAAATGTTAAAAACCTCAATAATAAACACATTAGGCCTAGGATAATTCATATAAATATATATATTTTTTTTTTTTTAAATCGCCATTTTACTTACGTGTCTGTGGTTAAATGAGTGAAATTTGTCCACACAAATGTCTCTTCATGTCTTTACAATTTCTTCATAAAAACAGCAACATTTTAATCGGTCCAATCAATCAAAAGAACAAAAGAAGAAGTTAAAAGTTAAAAAATAAACTAATTAATTAAAACCTAGATTGTCATCACCGCTCAAATGTCACGCGCGGATTGGCTAACATTTGAACGTAAATAACGAACATAACGAAATAACCGTATCTGCGGTCTGCTGATGAGTCGCTCAGTCGAGATGAGTGGAAATAGCTCAAGTGGCCCGGGACAAACACGATTTTCGGGCCTTAAAAATGTCCTAACAGGAAAGCTAACGTTAACGGTGTATCCTGAAGAAGGCGAAAATGAAGAGAAAAATGAAGTTGAAACCTTCAGATGGGTGATAAACCCCCGGAGTCACGTCAGGTAACGTTAACGTTAATTAATCACTCAGACTCAACTAACGTTAGTCTTCCTCATGTAAGCTAGTATCGTGTCATTGTTCACTTCACATAAAACTCAATCACTTTCAGATTATTTAGCATATGCTAATTAGAAGTGTGATCTTGTTCTTAATAGGCTTGTCAAAAAAACGTCTGTTTTTTTTATCTCTAACGTTAAAGGTTATTAACAGTTAGCATTCATAACATAACGCTAACACTGAACAAACATTTTTTGTAATATCATAATAAAATTGCAATTTAAATACATGTTACGTTTGAATGTAAACGAATGTACAATTTAAATGTAAAATGTTACGATAAAATGAAAAAATGTTACTCTTGCAGTTGAAATTAATACATTTATAATGTAAATAAATGTTTGTAATGTATATAAATCCTGACCAAATGTTACAATTGCTACTAATGATACTTTTACATATGGTAGGCTACTAAATGATTACCATATTCATGTATCATTTGCATAGTATGGCATTATCACAAATAAATAAATAAATAAATACCATGTTGAGCATGTATGACAGTGTTTCATTAATGCCATCACAGTGATCTGTAAAAATGCTTTTGCTTTTTTTCCGTCTTACAGGCATTACTATCTTATGTTTATGGTGATCTTAACATTCGTGAACCTTATAACAATTCCTCTAGACATGGCATTTTCTGATGATATGCATGGTAACGCCCACACATACTGGGTGACCTTCAATGTATTCTCAGACACCATGTTTTGCCTTGATGTTGGCATTAATTTTCGAATGGGTATATTCAGTGACGACGGTCAGGTAGGAATGTCCTCATCCTCTTTTTTTTATAGTGTACGCTCTAAAAATGCTGGGTTAAATAAAACCCAATGCTGGGTAAAATAGGGACAAACCCAGCAATTGGGTTGTTTTGACCCAGCGGTTGGGTTAAATGTTTAACCCAACCTTCTGGTACTAGTAACCCAACCGCTGGGTCAAAACAACCCAATTGCTGGGTTTGTCCCTATTTTACCCAGCACTGGGTTGTATTTAGCCCAGCATTTTTAGAGTGTAATATGAATTATTTATTGCTTTCCCTTTCTAAAATATTGTTGACTTTTAAAAATGAATACAACACAGTCTTGTTTTCTGTCTAGGCCATCCTGGATCCAAAAGTAATAAGAAATGATTATTTCAAAAGTTGGTTTTCTCCTGATGTGGTGGCTGCCTTCCCGGTTGACATTATCATTATTGTTGTGGTAATTTTATTAATAAAGTTAAAATCGCTCACACTGATCAAATTGTAAAGATCCTTTAACATCTCACAATGAAAGCATGTCTTAATTTGCACTGCAGGAGCAGTTTTATCACGCGGACACTGATGTACTGATGGCTTCGAAGCTGGTGCGGATACTCATGTTCGCGAGGATTTTCAGTATGATCCGTTTACTCCGTGTGCCGAAGCTTCTGAGATTCTGCTTTGAATTGGAAAGTGTAAGTTTCAGTTTCACTCACGGTCATGTTTATGCAGGAAATTATCAATGGCAATACTGTTTGTTTGTTTTTCCGCCTGCCAGTCGCCTTTGCCCACTGGGGGAAAAATAAGAAAACAAATTAAGAAAAAATACATCATTTGTTATGAAACTTAAAAAAAAAAAAAAAGTGCTTCTGACATGGAATTTAAGATATTATTATTAGCTACTTGTTTCACTTCTGTTTCAGTTTTTTATAACCATTTCTTATTATGTGTCAGTAAGTTGTTGTTATTTTAGCATGTGTGTTTGGCTCAGTGTTATTTTTTTAGGATTACTGATAAACTAATGTAGTTTGATTTGTATTAGTTATCTATTTTAGTTTTAGTTACAGTTGTAGTCATGTTGTCATTTTATTAGTTTTTTTATTATATATAGTTTTTTTTATTAAAGGGGTCATATGATGCGATTTCATTTTTTCCTTTCTCTTTAGAGTGTTACAAGCTCTTGGTGCATAAAGAAGATCTGTAAAGTTGCAAAGACTAAAGTCTCAAATCCAAAGAGATATTCTTTTGGATAAAAGCGTCTGCTAAATGACTAAAAGTAAAAGTAAAGAGCGATGTACAATATAAAGTGATATAACTAAAATCGACTTTAGGTTGGAATAAAAAAAAAAGTTTTGTTTTTTTTCAGGCTGATGTTACATGAAAAGTTATACAAATGACTTTTTCATTCTTTTTCTGAAAGTCATCTATGATCTGATGATTTAAGGAATCCCTGAAACCAAACCAATGATCTGAAAAAGCTCTAAATAAATATCAAAAACTTCTCCAAAAATCCTACAGCAACCCAAGAACCTCATACAGCCTCAAATCGTTTTAATAAGACGGCAGTCTGTGATTTTCGAAGATATTTAAATATTCAGTGAAAGGATTTTTGACTTCACTCTAGCTTGATCTCATTGTTCAATACATTAGATATCTTCTATATCTTTTTTTTTGTAGTATTTTCCAATAAACCAACAAGCATCAGGTTGTATGTACACCCTTACAGTTCTAATGAGACCTTCTGTTCTGACTTTGTCTGTGTTCTCGGTCATTCTAGGTCTCTGACATCCAGCTTGAAGAAGCCAAGAAGTTTTTCAGGGTTTTTTTCATGTTCATGTTGATAATCCTGATTTGGCACTGGAACACATGTGTTCAGTACTTCATATCTCTACTGGAGGAGTTTCCCGACGACTGCTGGGTCATGCAAGAGAACATCAAGGCATGTCTCAATGTGTATTGTGCGTATGCAGGCATTCACTGATGTGACGCTTAACATTTGTTCCTATTTTCTTTTATGTTTTGCAGAATACCACCATCGGGGAAAAATACTCCTATTCTTCCTTCAGAGCTTTCTCTCAACTGGCCTGGATTTCAACTAAATCTATTCAATCTCCAACACGTACATCTCACATTCATTCACAACATGAAGCAATTTTGAGAAAAGATCATTTGTTGTTTTTTGGTGTGGCATTTGCTAAGGCGAGCACCATCAGGAATAGGGATTTTACAAAACCTGTGGCCCAAAGTATTAAACTTCGAAGTGACCAAACTTAACGATTTTCATATGCCAGATGAAAAGAAAATAGCAACAGATGCCCTGGTACTTTAGCATTCCGGCATCAGGTTTTGCATGAGCGAGCACCCCTGAATAAGATGCACAACTGTAGTTTACAATGAGATAAAATGATTCCCTTTTGTGTTTCAGGCATGGCAGAACGGTGGACGGCTGTTGTTAGCATGGTGGTTGGATATATAATGTGTTTTGCTCTTATCGCCTGCTTGATGGCAACAGTCGGGAGCATGTCTGCGACTGGCAATGAATACAAGAAAAAGGTGCTCTTAAGTTATTTTTTCGAGAGTAAAATGGATTCAACAAATAAATGCATGAATTAAAAGCATGATGTATAAATATGACAGATCAGCCAGCTGCAATCCTCCAAAATGTTCAAGAAGCTGCCCAGGTCTCTGCGCCAGCGCACCACTGCCCAGTACAAGTGGCAGTATGACAAGAAGAACATCCTCGATCTGGTGTCAAAACGGCTGAGAAAGGTTTCTAATTCATTCATATGAACATAGAAATAAGCGAAGGTGTGTACAGATAACGTTACACGTACCTCAGTGTCACGCTCACACTGGAGCCAACCACAATGAAGAATTAGAACAAAGTAATCTGTTTTTATGTATAACTCATTTCAATAGTGCTATGTTTTCTCTTTCAAAGGATATTATGGCAGATATGTGTCCCAACCTGCTGAGCAAAGGCTCCATGTTCATAAAGCATGACAGAGAATTCACCGAAGCCATCTTGGTGAAGTTGGAGTACGAGTTATTCCAAGCAGAAGACATCATCCTTCATCAGGACGCTAAAGCTGCCCACATGTTCTTCATCGAGCATGGACGTGTGCTCGTGAAGAACCAGTTTTTCCAAATGGAGCTGTGCGATGGAGACCACTTTGGAGGTGAAACCTGCTGTAGCATGATTCAGACGAGAAGTCAAGCCTGGTCCTCATTGCAGTTCTGGTCTTGAACCATGACTGTTTGATGTGCCATTTAGGGATGGTTTTGTCTGAAAGAGATAACAGAACCATATTAGATTGTTGTGTGAAAAAACATCCAATAATTCATATAATGATGATCAGAAGTTCACTCATGATTAGTAATCACACTTACAAACAAAACCGTTCTTCTTTCTTTTGATGCCATTAACCTGACAAATCTAGGCTGCGTCCAAAAAGAACAAGTAATTATTTTGTGTCCATTCGATATAGTAGTGTGTGTGTGTGTGTATTAGGGATTAAAAATAATACATCCACTATGTCGTGAAGTGTCCACCATATGCGTGCAACAGTTTCTCTCTGAAACTTGTCGGTCATTTGGGTAGTTATATATATATATATATATTTACATTTAGTCATTTAGCAGATGCTTTTATCCAAAGCGACGTACAAATGATGACAATAGAAGCAATCAAAACCAACAAAAGAGCAGTAATATGCAAGTGCTATGACAACTCTATATATGTGACCCTGGACCACAAAACCAGTCATAAGGGTCCATTTTTGAAATTGGGATTTAGGTTATATTTTAATACTATTATTTCAGACATACAGCTCTTTTCGCCTGCTGTAGAGAAGGCAAGTAGGTAAATTTGGACCCAGAGCCATTTTAATACTATTATTTCAGACATACAACTCTTTTCGCCTGCTGTAGAGAAGGCAAGTAGGTAAATTTGGACCCAGAGCCAGTGATTAGTTCAAAGGTGATCTTATTATTGAGAGATACCAAGATCTACAGTTCTAACCAAATGGTGGTCACATATGGTGCAAGCAGCCTCATACTCAGTGTTTTAAGACGTTGTGTGTTTCTGCAGAGATCAGCTTCCTGTTTGGTGGAAGGCAGCTGGCCACAGTTTCTGCTCTGGCCGCCTGCAGCCTTTTCTCCCTGTCAATAAAACATTTTGAGGAGATTGAGGAAGAGTTTCCACATGTTGTGAAGGAACTGAGGGCAGTGGCTCAACAGCTCAAAGATGATCTCGAGGGTAAGACTGACATTATGAGGCGCATTCAGAATCTCGCTCTGATTGAAGTCGACATAACATGCCGTTCACAATTTGACTTTCTTTAACGTTACATATTTCCAAGAGAAACAGAATTTTAATAGAGAAAACATGTAGGATGTGACTTGAAAGAATTACAAAGACTAACAACTAAGTACATATTGATTGCAAAATGATTTTAAGACTTTTGTTTATTAAAGGTGTTGGGCTGGAACGTCAAGTTACATCAGCATCGAACAGTGTGTGCGACGACACATCAGGACATTTTGTTTTAGTCAATTAGTCATCGATTGAAAAAGATTATTTTCTTGTTTTACAATAAAAAAAATATACAATTTAAACTAGGTTTATATATTTTTATGTATAGGTTAGATGCTTAAGGCGATTTTAATTCTGTCATTTTTATTTGAGTAATTATTTATGTACTTGGTGATACATAATACAATAAAATAAAGTTACTGTACATGTTCACATTCATTTACTTGTAATGTCTGTATTATTACAATAAATGATCTGAGCGCTGTTGTATTCAGTCTCTTTATTGTATGCATGCAGACATCACGACACAGAGGTCCAGTCAGAGATGTTAAAGGAATATTTTAAAAATGATTTACTAATGAACACATGAGTAAATAACCACACCGTCAAGCTCCATAAAGGACAAAAAGTACCATAAATGTAGTCCTTCTACTGTTCTCCAAAACATATAGAACCAATGTGAATGGAAGTCATAGAGCTACAATATTATTACACTGTTTGATCCATTTAAAGTGTAAGATTTTTTAATATAAGGGCTTGAGTGAGAAAACAAACAGACCAGAATTTCTGCAACCAGTGTAAAATGCTTCTTGTCTAAAAGGCAAGTGAGAGTGTCTTTCTTATTATGAAGTCTTGAAAATGCATCTCATAAAATAAAAAAAAACAGTTGAAAAAAGCATGCAGAAATATCTTAACTGGAATAACCTTTTTTACACTGACAAGCACGAAAGGAGGTCTGTAGGTGTCTCTGTTTCTTCCAGGGGGCGCAGCTCGTAAAGAGAAATCCCCTTCAGCATGTTTTTTTTGTACACTACAATGTATAATCTTTTCAGTATATTCATTACAAAGGACCGAAATCAGCACAAACAATCTGTAAAATAGATTAAATATTCCATATTCAGTGTCTATGATTCTGACCAGCGTTGAGAAAAGTAACAGGTACCACGTGACAACGCAATGCAATTATTACATTGTAACGTTACTGGAAATTGTCAGTAATGATGGTCAGTTTTGTATTGATTTACTTTGGTTAACGCATTTATTTACATGTTTCAGTTCTTTAATCAAAAAGAACTCTAAAAACATTATTATTAATCAAGTAAACAGAAAGTAGCATGTTTTTTTTCTTAGATGAGGTGATGATTGTCTTTCTACAGACGGATAAAGATTGTAAGCGCATTGCTAAACTGAGAACAGAAGCTCTTTGTGAGGCAATTGATGCGTTATGCAATAATGCACCACACAGCCGGGGTCATTTGTGAGCCTGTGCTGCAATTTCACATTTCATCAGACTGCAGATTATCAGGATTTCAACACACAGCTTAAAACAGGGCTGTCCAAACTCAGTCCTGGAGGGCTGGTGTCCTGCAGAGTTTAGCTCCAACCCTAATTAAACACACCTGAACCAGCTAATCAAGCTCTTACTAGGCATAGAAACTTCCAGTCAGGTGTGTTGAGGCAAGTTGGAGCTAAACTCTGCAGGACACCTGCCCTCCAGGACCGAGTTTGGACAGCCCTGGCTTAAAACGTGCAAATGACAACATCATAATAAATAATAAAATATATTTATTTTTTCAAATAGAGTTACAGTATTTGGCACAAAAGACAGTGTTTGGCACTGATACAGTGTTACAGGCACTACAGCAGAATAAAGCACTTTGGAAATGATTCTGTAAACGAAACCGAAATGTCCACAGATTACAAACATTCACTCAGCATTTGTTTGCTTTGCTTTTGTGAAATGGAGGTACTGTAAAAGAGAGGAAATGAACGCATCTACTGGCACCGTTTTTGAGAAAAATGACCACAATTTACAGTATAGATGTGGATATTTCATCTAAACCTCACTCTAAATCCCGTAATGAAATGAAATGGCAGTAACTCTACATGAACCAGCGACCAGAAATACAGAAAAACCACAACCAACACCAGCTGGTGAATGTCCACACAAACGTACAATACAAATCAACCACTAACCTACAAATGAATACAGTAACAGCTAAATACTTATTTAATTGGTCTCTGACATCTACATGACTACAGATAACGCATTTAAAAGTGTTCAAACTTGTTAAAAAGTGGCATAGAAGTGAGCGCTATTCACCATCAGTCCACTAGAGAGGGACAACAGCACAAATTATTACAGGAACAGATCACCAAAAAAATGACAATTCTCTCATCATTACTAACCTTCATGCCATTTCAAGTCCATATGATGCTTTTCTTAATGTTCTTTTTTTTTTAAGTGACAAAGAAGGTGGGGACTGATGTAAAAAAAAAAATTTATATAATACATATACACACACACATATATATACATACATGCATACATACATATATATGTGTGTGTGTGTGTGTATATATATATATATATATATATATATATGTATATATATATATATGT